CGCTGAAGTGTAGTGAAATGCTGTTGAGGTCGGTACTTCCTCAGGAAGCATACGATGAGGTTGTCGCAGGCCCAGGGGTACGGGGGGCTCAGTGTGGCGCGTTGTGTGATCATCATCATCATCATCATCATCACCATCACCATCACCATCACCATCACCATCTTTATCATCATTGGGCAGATCTTGCGGCAGGAAAGACGACCCTCCTCAAAGAACACCTGTCAGAGATGACGGAGGACTGCCAGACCTTCAGCCCCCAAACCGTGCGACACCTCCCCCCGAGCTACGGACCTTAAACCCTAAACCCTAAAACCCTAAAATGCCCTAAAAGCTGAGGAGGAGAAGCAGGACTGCTTGAAAGAGACACTTCTGCGAGCGGTCTACGAAGGTCCTCGGAGGGCTTGTAGGGCAGTCCGGGATGTGGGGCCTTCCCAGGGTTTAGGTTAGGGTTTAGGGTTTAGGGTTTAGGCAGGGACTCCGACCCAAGGGTAGTTCATGGGCCCTTATCATGGTGTATAGACGGGGTACATAAGGGGTACCCTTTCAAGGGCCCATACTAAGAGACCACGTAACTACCCTAAGATCCAGTACCCCTTAATTAAGGAGTACTCCTTAAATTAGTATAGGGTTCCTTATATGGTTTAAGGGGTGCTCCTAAATTAACGAGTATAGGGGTCTCGAAACCTACATCCGAAGCCTGGTAAGCCCCTAAACCCCTAAACCTAGGGTCTGAAGACCACGTGATATTGAACTCACCCTCGCTGAAAGCCATTGCGCTCTAATGTTGGGCGCTTCTCCCTCCTGCTACTGCGTTAATATTACACTAATATATATATATATATATATATATACTCTTACTGTTATTGTTGTGCTGTTGCTGATCTGATGAGTATTCTCATTGTTACTCTTATCGCACAACTGTTCATCTGTCCTTTTGGCGGTGCGTTGTGTGGGCCGAAGGGCTGATTAGGAAAAGAGGCCTCCCCTTTGATATACTGGATATCTTCTCTAACCTAACCCAAGCTTTAGCCCTAAACCCTCAACCCTAAACCCTGAACCCTGAACCCTACACCCTAAACCCTAAACACCCTAAACACCCTAAACCCTAAACCCTGAACCCTACACCAACTCATGCAACCCAGATGTGAACAACTTACGAAACGCCCTTTGGCCAGGAAAAGATCTGGCAGTGAAGGCCGGCGGGGGCAGCGGCTGGCATATGGCCAGCTTTCTAGGTTTAGGGTTTAGGGTTTAGGGTTTACGGTTTAGGGTTTAGGGTTTAGGGTTTAGGGTTTAGGCAAGAGAGGCCTCTGGCAAAAGGGTTCTTAGTAGGGGGATGGGGGAATTAGGTACCCTGCATAACCCCTTAAGGGGGTTATTTAGGGTACTTGGCCTCATTCCCCACCAAGGGCCAGGAAGTAGGGGCAATATAGGGGGCCTTAATGAAAGAACTCCCAGCCGACTTAGGCCTGACGCACTACCGTAAAGTAGGAGCCCTTCAAACCTAGGGTTTAGGGTTTAGGGTTTAGGGTTTAGGGTCTCCAGCCCCGCTGATCTTGCAGATGAGAACTCATGGAGGGAATGATTTGCTTGGACGTTTGATATTTGGGAAGCTCATCTCCTGCAGCTCCTTACTAAGAAGTAGACAGAACCCCGCCTTCCCGGTGACTCTCGACACATGATTTGAAGTAGTCTTCACATGGCCCCATCTCAAGCCAGCAAACCAAAGACCTTTGCTTTGAACCCTGCGCGCCAAACCAAAACACACACAGCTGGGGTTAAAGAAGTTTTAAGGGTTTTGGGCTTGCAGGGTTCATAGGCCTGGGATGTGTGGGGTTTTCGGCCTAGTGTAAGGTTCCTAAACATGAAAAACCCTGTAGGGACCTTAAACCCTAAACCCTAAACTCTAAACCTTAAACCCTCAGCCCTAAACCCTAAACCCTAAACCGTAAACCCTAAACCCTAAACCCTAAACCCTAAACCCTAAACCCTAAACTTAAACCCTAAACCCTAGACCCAACCCACCTCCTGGAAGCCCCAAAGCTGGCGACAGCTTAGGCGCTGCTGGACTTGAGGGCCAACCCACTGGCCACGACCTCAGAAGCACCCGAATGGTTTAGGGTTTAGGGTTTAGGGTTTAGGGTTTAATTAGGGTTTCGGTTTAACCCCTCCCGAACAAAAAGAAAAACACACTCTTTAAATCCTCGAGCCCTGATTGTTTGGAGTTTGGGCTGTAGGGTCTAGTGGTTGAGGGTTTTGGGTTGAAGTGTTGGCTTCAGGGGTAAACCCCTGAACCCCTTAAACCCCTACAACCCTTCAACCCTTAAACCCCTTGAACCCCTTAAACCCTGAAACCCCTTAAGCCCTTAACCCCCTTAAACTCCTTAAACCCAAGCCGCTTAGGCCTATTGGGTGCGTGGGTGGGAGTTGATGGGCTTTAGGGCTGGCGTAGACCCACAGGAGAAGAGAAAGCCGCAGAATATAACGGTACTGATAAGCCCCCTAAGGACTCCGTTATAAGTACCCGTGAACCTCCAAGGTTATATCATCCGGTAAAGCCAGAAAAAGGGTTCCACGCAACGTATCAGGGTTTAGGGGTTTGGGGTTTAGGGTTTAGGGTTTGGGATTTGCGGTTTAGGGTTCAGGGTTTAGGGTTTAGGGTTTAGGGTGGTAATGGCCCTTCTGTAAAGTCAAGCTTGTCGGGCTTTATTCAGGATCCCGTGGCGGGTCCAGGGTGGTTTAGGGTTTCAGGTTCAGGGTTTAGGACCTTTTGGGTTTCATGAAGCTGACCAGTATTGTATTCAAAAGAGTTCAGGGTTTAGGGTTTGGTCCTCTCTAAGGTCAAGTTGTCAGGGTTGGGCCATTGGGTCGGGTCTGATCTTTGTATAGGGTTGTCGGTTTGTTTTCCTAAGAATTTAAGCCTGAGCCCTGAAACCCTGGACCTTAACTAAACCCTGAAAGGCCAAGCTCCCCCTCAACCCCACCGGATGTTCTTCCTATTCCTTTCTCATTCTCTCCCATTTTACATCACATACATTCATCCCCTTTGAAGTCCTCTGAAATCTGGGGATCAGTTTGAAGCGTGTCGAGAATCAGCTTCGGCTGGGTAATCAGCTTCGACTGCTCAGGAGGGCGGGGGGGGAACGCATTCAAGTGGGTCCAATATTCCCTAACCCTAAACCCTAAACCCTAAAACCCTAAACCCTAAACCCTAAACCCCAAACCCTAAACCCTAAACCCTAAACGCTACGAACTAGTAAGAAACCTCCCCAACAAGCCGAGATGCAAGGTGGCAGATGGGCTGGCACACACAGCTTTGCACTGGGCTGCACGGCAGGCCAGCTAGTTTGAAAACTTCAATAGCTGACTGGTTCTTAGCATTGACTTAGGGATTCAATGGCCTTATATATCCAGAAGTTCCGGTTATTTTCATGTAGCCCTTTTGGGGGTCTATTGGCTAGGGCCCCTAATTCCCTAATTCCCCGACTCAGAACGAGTAAAGGAAGACTGGGCGCCATTCTTGTCTGAAGGAGGCCCAGTGATGGCTTGCAGTCCCCGTTCATGAAAAATCTGATACCTTAGAGAGACGAAATGAACCCGAAAAACGTTTAAGGTCCACGTTCATGAAAATCCTGAGAACGTTGGAGACAAAACTACGGCCTTCGTGGCAACGTTGTAGGCGTGTTCGTGGCACAGGCAGGAGGCTCTCGAGCGCATGAAATAGGATCCTTGGAAACGGGTGCCATACTACACCCCTGAACACTCCAAGCTCTAAACATCCTGTAGTATGGGCCCTGTAAGCCTTATAAACCCCTAAAAGCCTCTCTTACAACCCTGAAGCCTAAAGACCCTGAACCCTGAACCCTAGACCCTAAACCCTAAACCCTAAACCCTAAACCCTAAACCCCATCGACTGCAGCCCTTGGGGCTCTCCAGGGCCACGAAGGCATCGCCCTCGCCTTGATAAAAGCCAAGGCAGGCATGTGGGTTTCGAGGGGCCTATGGGGTTTAGGGTTTAGGGTTTAGGGTTTAGGGTTTAGGGTTTAGGGTTTCGGGGCTTAGAGGGTTTAGCTAGGACCCAGAGTAGGCCTGTAGAGCTTAGATTCCCTTGGAATCCCTTTTAAACAAAAAGGGCACCCTTTTTATTCCTAGGTTACTCCTGGGTCTAGTTAGGGTTTGGGCTTTACAGGGTTTTCTGAGGGTAGTCATATGGACCCTTACCTTCTTTGAAGGTTGGGTTGTGACGTACGGGCCCTAAACCTTAAACCCTAAACTGGTCGCAGGCTGTGGTTCAGGCAGAGAACCGAGACAAGATCACCCCCGTGCACCTGGCGGCCCACAGCAACTCCGGATCACTTGCTCGGGCACTCGGTCGGGGGGCGGGGGAAGGCATCGGTTTATCAGGTGGAAGGCTGGCAAAGTTCCGCTTGTATGCTTGACCAGCCTAAGATGCCGGTCTTCACCTGACACGGATGCGGCCCTTTTGTGGTTTTGTGGCTCAAGCCGACAGCATTTGAGCCACCTCCACTCAAAGCATGAGCAGCAAGGGACACCGGAGTTGAGCTACCCCATCTACCTACCCCATCTACCCTCAGCCTGTACACCTCAACCATGCAAAATTCCCTCCAGCAACTTTCACAGACGTGTGTTCTATCCTTCTTGACTCGGCTTGAGGCGCCGCCCAAAGCGTCTGTGAAAGGCCGCAGTCTGAAGCCCAAAAGAGGCATAGCAGAAGCAGCAGCCGCAGTAACACCCCTTAGAACCATCTTCAACTTCCAACACGAAGGCTTCTAAACCGCTACTAGGAATGAATGTTCGTGGTGAGTTTGTAAAGGTTTCAAAAAAAGGTTGTAATATACCAATGTGGTTTCCCTACTTAGAACCCTACTTGTAACCCTTCCATACATAGTCAGGCGCTATAGGCAGAAGCGGCCCTTGCAGTGTGGACAAAGTTAGCCACCGGGCCCCATGGGAAGATTTGACATGGGCGCGCCAGCTAGATGGTGTCCTACTATGCCCTTCCGGCCGCAGGTGTTGACGGGTACCCTAAGACCTAAATTTCGCCCTAAACCCTAAACCCTAAACCCTGATAGTGCGGGTGTAGGAATAGGGCTTAAGTGCACCCATGGATCTTAGGATTTGTGGGTGGAATGGCGAAACATATTGTCATGGGTTCCGCTACCCCTATAAATAAGGCTGTTTAGGGATCATTTCGCCTAATAAGGCTATTAAAGGGGGGAACCTAGGAGATGTAGTATAGAGGGGGTAGTAGGGAGACCCATGATATTTGGGTTTCCGAAAGTGGGCTTACTGGGGTCCTTTTTGTAAGGAGATTCTACTATTGGGGCACCTATATATTGGGGGCCCCGTATTTTCGTTAGCCCCCATATGGGTCGATTCTGCTGATTCCGGGAGGCTCACACGGCCTGCCGAATCACAGGCATGAGTACTCAGGGAGCCCCACCGGCGCAATATGACAGCCGGTTTGGCAATCCATAACTGTGTAACAGTATGTAACAGTATGTAAGAGTATGAAACAGCATGAAACCGTATATGCAACAGAATGTAACAGTATTGTGCCGCCAGACATATCCACAGATTTCTAGATTCCCTGAACCAGCGTCGGCACGGCACCCGTCGCCTCAAGCCTCATGTGCTTTTCTGAGGCCCCCAAGGGGAAGAGCGGCGCTGCCCCGTTCCCCGCCTACTGCCTGGAGGAGAACGTTTGCTTCTGTGCCGTCTCTTGGGATTGGTATGTGGCATCCTGACATAGGAACCCTAAACCCTAAACCCTAAACCCTAAACCCTAAACCCCTAAACCCCTAAACCCTATAAACCCTAAACCTAAATGGGAAGCAAAGACTGGACGATATCTCTGGGGAAGGATGGATGAACCCCGAACATCTGCCTGTGACCTTTGTCCAGAGCAGGTTCCGCACAGGCAGTGCAGTCAAGCCCACTGGTGTTGTAGCTTGGTTTGGGTTTTAGGGTTTAGGGTTTAGGGTTTAGGGTTTAGGGTTTAGGGTTTAGGGTTTAGGGTTTAGGGTTTAGGGTTTAGGGTTTAGGGTTTAGGGTTTAGGGTTTAGGGTTTCTTCTCTCTCTGACCTTTGTTGATGCACACAACTCTCTCACCGGCATCGGCAGTGCAGCGGAAACTCGCGGCAGGAGGAGACGTTGCCCGCACCGGAAGAGCCGGCCCGAAGCGCAAATCCGAGTGGGCAGCTTGGGCCGGACAGGCCGAAGAATACTGCACGATGTGGAGAGGTCTGAAAATCATGGTCCCTTTTAAATTTTGGGGGGTGCCCTAATAAGAGGGGCCGCCTGCTACTAAGGACCCGAAAACGCACGATAATTTAGAGATGCACGTATAGTGAAGGTAGGATCCAGCATCGTATGAAAGATTGTAATCGTAGGTGTGTGTATATATATATATCTATCTATCTATATTTTTCTATATGTATTTAAACTGTTGTTCCCTGTGTCCGCTTACGCCGATTTTGAGCTGCAACATGATCTGAAAGGCTTATGGTCCGCTCACTTTACAGGCATATACGTTGTATAGCAGGGTTTAGGCATGGAAAGGGCGTGGTGCGTGTGTTTCCGTGGACTTTGATTCTTAAGACTACCTTTCGTTTTACGCATGGTTTCGTACTTTCTCGTAGGGTAGGTAGCGGATGCCTGTGTCAGGGGTTCCTTCCGTCTGGAAGTGGGATTCGGGGTTCCATCTCACCTGTGAGTCTTTCCCATGCCCTTTCTCTCCCTGGTGGGTTTAGGGTGTAGGGTTTAGGAATTAGGGTTAGCCCTAAGCCTTGCTTGGAGGATCACAGTACTTCGAGCCCCAATTCCAGCCGTACTCACAAGCCCCGTACGTCCTCTAAGTAGCTGACAGGTACACTTGCAATTGGGTTCCCTAAGGGTCCATGTACCTATAAAGTATATAATTTTGAGCCCTAAAGCTACTTTGTGGGAACCCCTTTGAGGCCCACATAAAAACTAAATAGCTACATGGACCCTTAGGGTAAGTGCACCCTGGCTTCTTGGAAACGCCCTCGCAACAAAGCGCCTTAGGAACGAACTGAACCCTAAAAAGGGTGTAAGCTCCATGTAACTTCACAGGGGTGATACAGTAGCTTAGGGTATGTGACCCCAATCTGGGGTTGCATGTCGTCTTTCACGGCCCTCACAAAGATGTAGAGGAAGCCTCCGCACCCTAAACCCTAAACCCTAAACCCCAAACCCTAAGCCCTAAACCCTAAACCCTAAACCCTAAACACTAAACCTTTGTGTGAGGCCTTGTGCCCCCAGTTCCTCCGTCTCCTACTACGGCTCCTTGGAAGAGGAGGGGAGCCACACGGATTTCAGGGTGGGTTTAGGGTTTAGGGCTTATAGGCTTATAGGGTTTAGGGTTTAGGGTTTAGGGTTTAGGGTTTAGGGTTTAGGGTTTAGGGGCTCGTGTGACACACTGTCCTTTCTTGAGCAGGTTGGGCGGGCAGGGCAGAAAACAGGCGCGCGCCCTGGTACCAGTCAGGGGCACATGTTCTAAGTCTGAGTTCTAATGCCGCGGCCAGTCTTTTACATCGAGCGGATAGACTGCACTTCTACCCGGCCCCTAAACCCCCAACCCTAAACCCGAAACCCTATATACCCTATGTACCCTATGTACCCTATATACCCTATATACCCTATCTACCCTATATACCCTATATACCCTATATACCCTAAAATTATACCCTACATACCCTATAGACCCTATATACCCTAGATACCCTAGATACCCTATATATACCCTATATACCTATATACCTTATAATTATACCCTATATACCCTATAAACCCTATATACCCTTAAGCCTCTACGGCCCCCGTGCTTTCGCAAGAGCCCTGGCAAGCCCGGAGCCCTGAACCCAAGGCTCGCTGGCCGGGCGGGGCCTAAAGAAGGCCTCCATTGCACCTGTGCTGGGGTTTAGGGTTTAGGGTTTAGGGTTTAGGGTTTAGGGTTTAGGGTTTAGGGTTTAGGGTTTAGGGTTTAGGGTTTAGGGTTTAGGGTTTAGGGTGTCGGTCGAGAGGGGTGGAGGTGGGGGATGTAGCAGTCCTTCATAGGTATCATAATTGGGGGGTACTATAATCCCTATGAAGGACTTTTAGTATAAGGGGGATCATCCCAAGGTGGAGGCTGTATTCGGGGTCTGCGCTACAAGGAGGGGTCCCTTTTACGACTTTAGTTGAGGGACATATAACCAAAGTTAGGATCCTTACAACCCAATGTAGGGTACTTATATCGCTACTTGTAACGAGGGGGGGCCGCTCCTTGTATGTTATGGACGATTGTGGACTCTCCTGCATCAGACTGGATGTCCAAGAGGGGCTCATATAGCTTTACTCGGTCAATGCCCATATTATATGCAGGTCGTCTCATTTGCGCCGCTAAAGCGCAGGCAATCTACAGACATGCCAAAGCTAATTTCTCTATGAGCTCACACACTGCCACATGTGCATGCAATATGCAAAATGAGCAGTCATCCACAGTCCACCTCAAAAGCAAGGTTTGTAGGGTGTTTCGTGGTGACAGGCGTGGGGAATCCGGGGTTTTACGGGATTTCGAGCAGTTGTGGGGGTCCGACATTTCGCGGTAGATGAGAGCGAAGGGTTCTGTATACGTATGTATTTCTGAACGACTCTACCTGAGGGACAAGTAGAGTGATCGAATCTGAACCCTAAACCGTAAACCCTCAAAAACAAAACCCGAAGTCAGTGGAACCCAAGGTGTGACAAAGGATACCCACAAGGTTTAGGGGATCGGTATGGGACCAATGAGAGTTAGGGCCGATTCTGAGGCCCTAAACCCTAAACCCGTAAACCCCTAAACCCCTAAACCCCTAAACCCCTAAACCCCTAAACCCCTAAACCCCTAAACCCCTAAACCCCTAAACCCCTAAACCCCTAAACCCCTAAACCCCAAACCCTATACCCTAAGTTTCAGGCTATTGGCTTGGTTTCCTTTTGGGGCCCATAGGCATCTGATGCTAAGGTGCTCTCCGCCGCCGATGCGGCCGTGCGCGAGGGCAAGTCTGGATTGGAGAACCTCCAGCGTCGGCAGGTGGCGATCGATGTTGTGTTTTTTGGAAGGGTTTAGGGTTTAGGGTTTAGGGTTTAGGGTTTAGGGTTTGGGGGTTTAGGGTTTGGGGGTTTAGGGGGTTTAGGGGGTTTAGGGGGTTTCGGGGTCAGGGGTTAGGGGTTAGGGTTAGGATGTTCCCCCTTACACTAACAGTGCTTAATTGGGATTCTACTAGGAGGTACTATAATCCTTTTTGAGGACTGTTAGTATAAGGGGACCATCCCAAGATTTCGGGCTGCTAGAGGGAGATGGGGAGCATGATCATGGAAGTTCAATAGCCCCGAGCACGAGCCAACGGGAGCCTACGGACCTCATGTAGACCTAGAGAACGGGTTTAGGGTTCAGGGTTTAGGGTTTAGGGTTTAGGATTTTGGGTTCAGGGTTTAGGGTTTAGGGTGTAGAGACCCAGAGAACGGGTTGAGCTGAAAGGTCCATCATGTCCTTAAATTTAAGCTTGCTATCGTCTGCTAAACCTAAACCCTAAACCCTAAACCCTAAACCCTAAACTGGATTACTCCGCAGAGGCAAGCTCTTTCAGCAGGGGGAACTTTGAACCAGAAGCCCCAAACCTCCACACCCTACACCGCATTGTTACCTTCGCATATAATTCCCAGCAAAGTTTTCTTTCATAAGAATTGTCCTAGGAAATTTCGCATGATATCCTCGGAATTTGCATAGACGTTTTTCGTACTCCGTCCAAGGCGGTCGCAAAACCAAAAAACCGAAAAACCCAAGACCCTAAAAACCCTAAACCCAAAAACCCAAAAAACTAAACCCTAAACCCCCAAAACCCTAAACCCATGCGGCAGAAACCCTACTGGGCTCCTGAAGGTGCTAGGCTCGATCGACATCGCGAGAAGCATCGAGGAGCTACAGGTCTGAGAGCTTAGGGTTTTGGGTTAGGGTTTAGGGTTTAGGGTTTAGGGTTTAGGGTTTAGGGTTTAGGGTTTAGGGTTTAGGGTTTAGGGTTTAGGGTTTAGGGTTTAGGGTTTAGGGTTTAGGGTTTAACCCCAAATTGGGTCTTATACCCTATACTACTGCATCTTGATCAAGGTATATGGACCTTAAACCCTTTTAGGGGTTCATGTCGTCCCTATAGGGTTGGGATGTCTTACTTTTGCGCTTAGGGGTTTTATCAGGATCATCATGTAGGATTCTGGTTCAGAGGGCCTTAGAAGCGACATCTTCTCAGGGCTTTCTGAAGGTGCACTGTGCAAAGTAGGGCTCCTTGCACACCCTCCTCTTGAGGCGGTGATTGCGTCGAGGCTTCCCGAGATGGATCCCTTTGCCTGCACCATGGCGCTGCACCGCCTGGCGCGCTACAGCCACGACGTGGACAAGCACGCGGCCAACGCTCGGGCGGCGCGGCCCGTGGCCTTAAACCCGACGCGCGGCTCCCTGTCTCAGAGGGAGCAGCGGCTGTGGCGCGCCAGCTTCTCGGCGTCCGTGAAGCAGCACCCATCCTTCGCCGTCCTTCTGGAGCGGATTGGGAGCGCAGAGGCCCTGAAGCACGCGCAGCCGCGCCAGTTGGCCAACATGTCCTGGGCCCTGGCGCGCCTCCGCGCGCTGGAGGGCCTCCCCCTCCTGCGCGCCGCCGCGCGACGCTGTGCTGCCAGGGAGGGTCCTGGAGAGTGGGATCCTATGAGCATCTCGCTGATTCCCTGGAGCTTGGCAACCATGAACGTTGCGGAGCCTTGGCCGCTTCAGTGCATGCAGCGTAGCTTTGTAGACGTCGTTGAGCAAGATCCGCACCAAGTCACGAAAGCTCGCGTAGCGAAGCTGGAGTTTTATCCGCTTTAGCAGCAGGGGGCCGACCACGGCCAGAAAACAGCGTATTATTGATACTATCTTATTAGGGGGGGGGGGGGGGGGGGGGGGGGGGGGTAAATTGATATATCACACGAATTCCTTGGTTTTGGAGGGGGGGGGAGGGGGGGGGGGGGGTTAAATTGATACATCACACCAATTCCCTGGTTTTGGAGGGGGGGGGGGGGGGGGGGGGGGGCGTAAATTGATATATCAATACCTTAAGGGGAGGCGTTTTTACGTCAAGACCTGACTCCGACGCGTGTTGACCGCAGCGCGTGAGTCAGGCTCCCAGCACAACATGCGTCGCCGCCCACTAGTGATGTGTTGATTGCAACAAGCTAGTTGATTGCAAGAAGCTAGTATCTACCCAACACTGCGACGGCTGAAAAGAAGACGCTGGCCCCTCAAGCATGCCTCCAACTGGGCCCTGCCCGCACTTTCTCTTGCAACTTTGCTCTTGCTTCCGGCCCCCGAGCTTTCGTCCTCCCTGCCTCCGGCCCTCAAGTCGACTTATACAGCCGAAATAGGTCGCAGCTGGATGGGTCGAACATACCTTATACGATGTGGTCATGCAATGTGGCACCCAACTGCAGTTAAGGAGCTTCACAGCTCAGCTGAGATGGTGGACATGGTCAGGCGAGTGATGGGTACCGTATAGTCATGCAAGAAGCCATCCTAAACCCTCATTGTGGTGGAAGCCCTATCCACCTAACCCCCTCCATCGGATGACTGTCATTTGTGAGCATTGCGGATGCAAAATGGCCTTGGCAGTTTAGGGCTCCAGTGTCGGCTTCAGCGTGTAGCGCCTTTCCGTTGTAACATGCAGGAGTGTTGCTTACAACGAGGGAGTCTGCACACGGATCATACAACGGTTCAGAAGATGCTTTCTGCGCAGGTCCATCAACGCAGCCATCCGTGAACAGGGGAGCGCGTCATGGCCACCAGGTGACCTGTCACGAGCGCCCTGGACTGAAACCGTGAAACCTGAAACCTGTGAAACCCTGAAACCCCCGTGAAGGCTAGCCAGAGAGGCCCCAGCAGCGCGAGGAACTAGGCTTCGAATTCATCCTAAACCCTAAAACCCTAAACCCCAAGCCCCAAGCCCCAGACCCTAAGCCCTAAACCCTGAACCCTAAACCCTATAAGCCCTAGCTCGAGGTCCACGGCATGAAGTAGAAGAACAGCGAACAGGTACTCTCCTGTTGGGCGAACTGGTGTTCTCACAACATGTCAGGGTTTAGGGTTTAGGGTTTAGGGTTTAAGCCATCTTCGACAGCCGCTGCCCGATGAAACCGAATCTTCCGGACAAACCCTCACACTGCGCCTCCTGATATCCTAGCCTACTTTCCGTAGCAAGACGCTCAGGGATGGTACGGCAGAGAGATAGAGAAACCCTAAACCTCCTAAACTCTAGATGTCTAGAAACCCCTAAACCCCAAACCAAAACCCAAAGGATCCATGTACCTAAATAGTATACACTCGGGCCCTAAAGCTACTACATAGGAACCCCTTTAAGGCCCAAGTTTATACTATATAGGTACATGGATCCTTAGGGTAAGGTACCAGACAAGTCTCGTAGTCAGCCCTGTGGTGTGGACTCGCCCCGGCTGTGCAGACAAGGAGCAAAAAACCCTAAGCTGCTCGGGTCCGGGTTGCCGTAAAAAAAAAACCCTCCAGGCCAAACAGGGTACCCATGTTATTCCCAGGCTAAACCCTAAACCCTAAACCCTAAAAGCCCCAAGTTCAAACCCTGAGGTGCTCTGGTCCTGGGCCAAGTTGGCGCAGAGGGACGACACGTTCTTCCGTAGGGCGAGCTGCTTGATCACGTCCCTGGGAGACGACATGGACCCCGAAAAGGGTTTAAGGCCCACATGCCCTTAATGAGGGTTAAGGTGTAGGGTTTAGGGTTTAGGGTTTAGGGTTTAGGGTTACAGTAGAAGAGGGTATAAGACCCCAATGTTAGGCTTCATTTCGTCTCCAAGGTCCTTCATGCCGGAGTACACGCCTCTTGGAGCCGACTGTATGCCTGGGCTGTTGTTTGGGATGATTTTAAATTTCGGAAATTTTCCCTAAACCCTAAACCCTAAACCCTAACCCCTAAACCCGAAACCCGAAACCCGAAACCCTAAACCCTAAACCCTTCTTTCCTTATAAGGGAACCTATTCAGAAATAAATTTCAAAGGTTTTTCAGCACAGCCCAGATGAGGGGTGCCCAGAATTTCTGGAGACTATAGTTGAATTATGTTGTTTGCCACTTTTTTGTTACTAAGTTCGTTTGTGAATATATCATTTGATGATTTTATTGCTTCAAATAGTGTGTGATTTTTATTGAGGCTTTGTGTGGCCCCTTGTGGCCCTTGTGCTTGCGGTGTAATGAGTTTTGCTTGGGATCAAGTAGCCGACCTTGTTCAGCAGGATGCTTTTTGCCTTCTAGGCGTGCCACTGCAGCGACCCCAAACCCCAAACCCCAAACCCCAAACCCCAAACCCCAAACCCCAAACCCCAAACCCCAAACCCCAAACCCCAAACCCCAAACCCCAAACCCCAAACCCCAAACCCCAAACCCCAAACCCCAAACCCCAAACCCCAACCCCAAACCCCCAACCCCAAACCCCAAACCCCAAACCCCAAACCCCAAACCCCAAACCCCAAACCCCAAACCCCAAACCCCAAACCCTAAACCCTAAACCCTAAACCTAGTAGATCCATACATTTGGAGCAAGTTCTTGAAGACGCTCTCTGCTGTGGATTGCACTAAGTGACCCACTTGGAGGTTCATGGTACCGATTAGAACTGTACTGATAACCATATTAGGGCACTTAAGGGGCTTATAAGTGGGTTATAAGTACAGTTATAATTTCTTAGTAAGGACCCCTAAACCCTAAACCCTAAACCCTAAGTACCATGAACCTTCAAGCAAGGCCAAGCCAGCTGGCGCAGACCGTGTGGGCATTTGCCACCGTGGCGCCCCAGGACCCCTGCAACCCTCGACGCAAATCTCTGATACCCCGGTTTAGGGTTTAGGGTTTAGGGTTTAGTGTTTAGGGTTTAGGGTACCCTACCTACAACCCAAAAAGCTGTACTCAGAGGGCCCACACCCCTACTCAGGCAGCGGGCTGGGATAAAGGCTCCAATCATCTGAAATCTGAAGTTCGAATCCCTTGAAAGTCCCACCAAAATTGCGGTTTAGCGTGCATCTCCCCTGAGAGTGCTCATCCGGGTTTAGGGTTTAGGGTTTAGGGTTTAGGGTTTAGGGGGTCTACCCGAAGGGATCCAGGACCTTGTTGAGAACCCTAAAGCCCTCAAGCATCCTCGAGCCATGAGCCAGAGACCCCTGCAAGGACGCCTGTGGACACTTCTTCCCGAAGGCCACTCCAAATCGCAAGGGGGGGGGGGGGGGGGGGGGGAGGGAGTTTCAGTATTGGAGAGCTCTGGTTTGGGTGCTTGTAGGGTTTGTAAATGGGGTATTGCAAGGTCTTTAGAGCCTGTATGGGTTTACGTCTTGGGGTTGAAGGTTTCTGGGGCTCGTAGGGTTTGGGGTCTGCTTTTGCGAACGATGCCTGAAGGTCCAAAGGAAGGCAAATGGCAAATGTTGGAGTTTTTGGAGTAGGGCAATGTATGCCCTAAGAATCTTGGGGACCGAAGCCCACACATAAGCTAAGCGCTTTCAGGAACTCGGTGTCCTATGTAGAACCACTCCAAGGGCATATGAGTTACCTACCCCACCAGCTGCCCCTAGCTTAAACTCTAAACCCCTAAACCCTCTTTACTCCTCTCTGCGGACTGGTAGCGGCACGGCTGCTGCAGAATCGCAACCCATATCCCCCAAACCCTCGTCCGCTAAGCCCCCTAAACCCGAATCCCCCAAACCCTAAACCCTAAACCCTAAACCCTAAACCCTAAACCCTAAACTCTTCGCAAAGCCCCTCCTTTAAGAAAGGCTGCCGACGCGATGCTCTACGCAGGGGCGCCCGGCGCTGCCTCGCACGCTTCGGGGCTGCCTCTCAGCCAGAAAGTGGTAGCCAGGACGAAGGTTTAGGGTTTAGGGTTTAGGGTTTAGGGTTTAGGGTCTAGGGTTTAGGGTTTTGGGTTTTGGGTTTGGGGTTTGGAGTTTAGTTTTTTTGCAAAAGCAACATGTACTCTTTGCTGCAAGGTGTTGAAACGAACTTTATGTGGAACTCCTCGCTGAAGCTACCTGTGTGAAACAGGTCGCTTGGATTACTTGTCTCGCTTGGGGTCAGACTTTGGGAAGAACTGGGAACACCTGGCGTACTTGTATCACCTGGATCACTTGCGACACTTTGATCGCTTGGATCACAAAGAATGCGTGGCGCACTTTCGTGGCGCAGTTTCGTCACAACTGGGGCACATTCATGCTTGGGCCACTGGAAACACTCATTCACTGAGTCACTTGGAACCCTAAACCCTAAACCCTAAACACTCATTCACTGAGTCACCTGGGACACTGGGGTCACCTGGGTGATTTGGGACACTTGGGTCACTTTGACCACCCGGAGCACTTCGAGCTAGGGCCGCTGGCACTCGGTTCCAGTGGCGTGTTACAAAGGGCACTTGGGTCATTTATGTCGCCTTGTGACACGCAAGACACACTTGAGACCTTGGTGTCACTTGGGTCAGAACACTTGGGCTTGGGGAGGAATTGGAGAACGCTTTGGGTCTCTGGGGGTCACTTGGGACACATGGAGCACTTGGGTTCATACGGGCACTTGGGACACTTCGGTCACCTGGATCACTTGAAGCACTTACTTTGGTCACTTCGGGACGCTGGCACTGGGGACAGCTCATTCACTTGGTCACTTGGGCACTCATGTCACCCAGACGCTCTATTGGTTTGAACCCAACATTCAGGTCTCAATTGTAAGGTGCTTGAAGAACAGGACTGGGCTTACAGAGCTATGGGGCTTTAATGCTCGAGACCGTGCTAGGGTCCTATATCTTAAATCCTCGTGATAGGTGTTGCGTTTGTCTTTCAAGCATTTGTTCAAGCATTTGCATGTCTACCATGCTACAACCCGACTTTCGCAGAAGCCCTAAACCCTAAACCCTAAACCCTAAACCCTAAACCCTAAACCCTAAACCCTAAACCCTAAACCCTAAACCTAAACCCCAGCTGACAAAGGACGGCCTACACGCCTCAACACCTGGCCATGGCCGTTTGGTCCTTCGCCAAAGTGCTGTGCCCTGGCGTGCTGCCTGAGACTGCCTCTCAGACGTTTAGGGTTTAGGGTTTAGGGTTTAGGGTTTAGGGTTTAGGGGTACTGATTGACCAGTTATAAGTTATGACTGTAGTTGTAACCATATTAGGGCACATAAGGGGCTTATAAGTGGGTTATAAGTACAGTTATCATTGGTTAATAAGTACCATGAACCTCCAAGCAGGGTTGAACAGGCTGCCCTAGCATGTGGGGCTTGTTGGGGTTCACCTAAGGCAGAGGCTTCAAAACCCTCCAAATCCCAACGCCCTCCCCCTGCCCCTACCTCCTACCACCCCCCCACCCCCCCCCCGCCCGCCCCCCCAAAAAAAACTAAACCCTAAGCCCTAAACCCGAAACCCTAAACCCTAAGCCAGGTACCGCCCGGAGGACCTTCTGGAGCAGATCGGCAAGGTGGCGCCCGACAAGCTGGAGAAGCTGCGCCTCGGCCGTGCACGGTGGGATTTGCGCGTCCTTCCGCAAACCCGTATGCTGGTTGGGTTTAGGATTTAGGAGTTTGGGGTTTAGGATTTAGGGTTTAGGAGTTTAGGATTTAGGGTTTAGGGCTAATTTTCGGTTTATAGGTTTTAGAGGGTTTAGAGGGCTTGGAGGGTTTAGAGGGTTTGGAGGGTTTAGAGGGTCTGTAGGGTTTATAGGGTTTAGAGGGTCTATAGGGTTTATGGGTTTTTTAAAGGCAATTCCTACATTCAAGCAGCTTGGCAAGATCAGGGTCAGGGTTGGGTCTTCTCTTACGGGGTTCTTCAGGGAGGGGTTCAGGGGAGGCAGGTACCTAGGGAATCTTAGGGAAGCTTAGGGAGCCCCAGGGCCTAGTGGGGAGTATGAGGGAACCTTGAGTTACATACCCCCCTTGAACCCCCCTAAGCAGGGTAGAAGCGAAACTAAGGGCTCCCAAGTTAGCCGTAGGCTGCAAGTCTCCCAACTACACTTGGTATACCCTCGAAGCCCTAAGATCACCCCCAGATCATGCAGCAGAGACCCGAAACCCACCCATTCTGACGGAGATGTGCCGAAGAAGTCATCGCACGAGGAACCCACAGGACATCTCCAACACGTCCTGGGCCTTCACCACCTTACTGGCCAAGGCTTTCCAAAAGGGGTTCAGGGTTTAGTGTTTAGGGTTTCGGGTTTAGGGTCTGGGGTTGGTTTTTACTTATTGGGGTTATAAGTACCCATGAACCTCCAAGTAGGGGCGTTTATGCGATCTTATACGACTATGGAGGGGGAAGAGAGAGAGAGAGAGAGAGAGTGAGAGAGAGATGTTACTAGTATACTAGTATGTATGTGTATGTATGCATGCATGCATGCATGTACGCATGCATGAATGTATGCATGCATGCATGTGTATATATATATATAATACACACACACATACACATGTTTTTGTACATACTTATATATATATATATACATATATATATATATATATCGCCCTGTAGATGTCCCGTATACCACTTTCATGGCTGGCGTCATCTGACCCAAACAGGGATGGATTTTCGGTACCCTGCAGTCAACGTCGAGGGCCCGTAACTACAACTCACATTTTTTCATGTAGTCAGCGGCCCTATCAGTCCTAAGCATCCATCCTTCCCTAAACATATATACCCTAAACCCTAAACCCGCCCAAACGTGTCCGCTCCGGCGGCAGGATCGGTCGATCTACGAGGTCTTGGCCGCCACTTCTGTGCGCACCATCCGGGAGTTCAACAACCAGGACAACATCTTACTGGCCGACTGCATGGGTTTGATGTAGTTTAGGGTTCAAGTTCAGATGAAGGGTTTAGGGTATATAGGGCGTAGAGATGAGAAGGTTGAACTTACTGGCGTAAAACCCAACTTTTCAACTTTTGGGCTTCTTATAAGGTAGTTTATTCTGAAAGTTTCAACTTGTATTTCCTTGGGTTTTGGGCCAGTAAGGCATTGTGAAACCATCACCAGGAGAAAGTGTTAAAGACGCATAGGGGCGGTATTGAAACGAGAAGATAGCTTGATAAGCTGTGTTGAAGCTGTAGGAACGGGAAGGTTGACAGATAGCCGCAGAATCTGTACAATGAAGTGAACCCATAAACCCTAAACCCTACAGGGTTGAGCTTCAGGCTTGGGCAACAGCAGGCATCTTGACATTCACAGCCCATCGCCTCCTGCGTTTCAGGGTTTGTTGGCTGTGCCTGCTTCGGCTTTAAAGGTGGGTGAAGGATGACAGGTACCTTAAAGTGCGAGGCATCTTCAGATCCCCCCACCCCCCCCCGCCCCAAGAAGGGTTTAGGGTTTAGGTTTAGGGCTTAGGGTGCAGGATCTCTCCAACACCGTTTGGGCCTTCGCATCTGCGGGAGAGTACGACGGCGCCTTCATGGATGCGGTGGCCCGGCTGCGTTTTCCTCTTGAGAGCCCAGCATGCCCTTGAAGAGTCATTGTCCATGCTGTGCCACCCTGCCCTATGAGTTATAGGGTTCCAGGGGTCAGGGCTTAGGGTTTAGGGTTTACGGACCGGGAATTTCAAACGTAAAGGCGTAAAGCCTTCAGTCGTGCACCTGCGGGTTCTTTCAAGACTTATAAGCACTAAGGTTGCGGCAGAGACCTGCCAGCGCGGAAGTGATTTCCATGGGCAGCATCTTGCCATGGCCGCTGGCCATTCATGAGCAAGATTCTGATGAGTCGTGAGCTTCTCAAGTCAGGAGTACCATCCAGGTAAGGTTGGTGAGCATCTGCTCTCAACCCTAAACCCTAAACCCTAAACCCTAAGCCCTAAACCCTAAACCCTAAACCCTAAACCCTAAACCCTAAACCCTAAACCCTAAACCCTACATACCACTCAAACGGGGCCGTTGAGGGTTTGCGGTTTCTAGCCCCAGGTTGCGTGGGCCTTCATCACCCTGCGCCACCGCCATGATCCTCTCTTGCACCTCGAACCTCAAAGGAGGGTTTCGAGTTTAGAGGATTGGGGTTCAGGGTTTAGGGTTTGGGGCTTAGGGCTTAGGGTTTAGGGTTTAGGGTTTAGGAGCTAGGGTTTAGGGTTTAGGGTTAGGAGTTTCCGGATGCAAAAGGGTTTATAGGGTTCAGGGATGGGTTCAGGGAATATGCAGCCTCCGACCTCCTGGATGCCAGGGTGCCAGAAGTATCTGTGTCATGGATGGCAGAGCTTTGAGCCAGGCTCCATGTCAAATGTGACAACCCTAAACCCCAAACCCCAAACCCTAAACCCTTAACCCTAAACCCCAAACCCTAAACCCTTAACCCTAAACCCCAAACCCCAAAGCTGTGGGTTGGGAGTTTTTTTTTCGGAAAGCCCCCATGTGTGATCCCAGGCGCGTGATCGGCCAGATCACGAACGGACATCATGGCTTGGGATCCATGTCCGCAAGCTTTTCGGAAAGTCTGCTGTGTGCAAGTCTGATTTTGCGGCACCAAAAGCCCTAAACCCAATAAGCCTATAACCCTATAACCCTAAACCCTGAACCCTATAACCCTAAACCCTAAACCCTAAACCCTTCCAAGCGAAAAGGCAACTCAAAGAAGCAAACAGCACGAGGCACCTGGAGCAACGCCAAGCTCCTGGCTTTCGCCTTCGCGGGGCTTCCGCGACTGGGCTCCGGCGCACTCCTGGGCTCGGAGGCCCCTGGAATCCCCTCACCCTAAACCCCAAACCCTAAACCCTAAACCCTAAACCCTAAACCCTAAACCCTAAACCCTAGCCCTAAACCCTAAACCGTCGCCAGGCTTGGACTGCCGGCGCGGTGCGACGGCTGCTCGACCAGCTCCTTGGCGCGGGAGTGTGCGTGCTAAGCTGAGGGGCTGCTTCCTTCACGATCCATAGGGTTTAGGGTTAGGGTTAAGGGTTTAGGGTTAGGGTTTAGGGTTTGTAGGGTTTAGGGTTTGGGGTTCAGGGTTTCGGGTTTGTGGGGTTAAGCTTTTGTAGGGTTTAGGGTTTAGGGTTTAGGGTTCCGAGTTTAGGGTGCGTAGGGTTTAGGCTTTAGGGTTCAGGGTTTAAAGTGCCTGTAGGGTTTAGGGTTCGGAGTGCACGCGGGGTTTATGGGTTTATAGATTTATAGGGTTTAGGGTTGAGGCCTCCCGCCCCTCTGCAAGGCCCTCGGGTTTAGCATGTATAGAGATCATAAGGTTTATAGGGCTTGCGTTTCAATTCAGCCACGAACTTACGAGTCTCTAGTTGCTACGCACGACATACATACTACTTCCCAACTGCCAAGGGTTTTTTTGGTGAATGTCTGATAACTGATAGTTAGTCACTACTTTCTATTTTGCGTTTTGCTTCGCATGTGTTTCTCGGCACTTACTGTTTGCATTGTGAGCATCATCATGAAGGATCAGCCTCTGTTTGACTTTCTTATTGTTGTCAAAATTGTTATTCTACCTGGTGCTATTGTGCTTTGCTTTTTTGGGGGTGAGTGTGATTTTTGAGGTCCTCGTACTGCGCCCGTACAAGGGTTTAGGGTCTAGGGTTTATAGGGTTTAGGGTTTATGGGGTTTAGGGTTTCGGGTTTCGGGTTTAGGGTTTAGGGTCATCCGGCAGTCATGAAAGCCCAGAAGCCGCGAGGTTCTACGAACGCCTCGAGGCGGGCGCGGGAGATGTGGACGCCGACGACGCGTGCGTCGTCCACGATGCTGTGTTCCCTTGGCTGCGCCTGCCCGGCAGACGCTAGCCTGAAATCCTATGTACCCTTCTGAACCCTCTTCTGGCTCTCTTAATACAATATAGGTACATGAATCCTTAGGGAAATGCCTGAAATCCTATGTAGGATAAGGGGGACCCTTAAAAGGGAACCCTTCCGAACCCTCTTCTGGCTCTCTGAATACAATATAGGTACATGGATCCTTAGGGAAATGCCTGAAATCCTATGTAGGATAAGGGGGACCCTTAAAAGGGAACCCTTCTGAACCCTCTTCTGGCTCTCTTGAACAGGGGCCTTTGTTCAGAGGGTCTATATCCCCAAGGGTCCCCCAAATCCTATCCCCTACGAAATGCAGACTTGCGCTTCGGCTTTGCAGGTTTCAGGACCCGGAGAAGGCCCTTATTCCAGTTGTTTAGGGTTGAGGGGTTCCCCTATAAGCCCCTTTAAACCAAAAAAAGCACCCTCTTAATTTGCATGCTTATATGCTGTTCATCATAACTACAGCCGCACAGCTTCCGAATTATTCAGGTTCGTTGGGGTCTGCTTTTCAAACGCCGGTTATGACGATGGTGGGACCTGAGATTGCTATAAAAGCTATTCGGACTTGCGAGGACTTCTGTCAAGATGAACCTTGGTACACTTTGTGCGGGTGTGCATCCATGAAGCATTAAGAAATATACCCCGTTCACTGAGGTTCAGGGTTTCGTGTTTTTGGTTTAGGCTGTAGGGTTGGCCCCTTCCACCCAGAGAAGCCTCCATCTTGGCTCCTCGAGCCCTGAAGCTCCTGATTTTCGTACCACCCTTCTCTTGGAATATCGAGCCCAACCCATGTGGGTGGCTGTCAAAATTTGGGTACCCTAAATATTTAGTTGCCGTATTATACTAGGGACCCCCAAAAAAGGGACCACAATTTTGACAGCCACCCATGTAGAGCATTTTAACCTTCAACCATATCATTGGGTTAATAGGGGTTATAATCAGGGGTACTAAGATTCCTATTAAGGACTGTTGGTATTATGGGGGAACATCCCAACCTCGACCCCTAAACCCTAAACCCTAAACCCTAAACCCTGAACCCTAAACCCTAAACCCTACGAAAGAATCTGTCGAGGCCGAGAGCTCCAAGAATCCGACGCTTGGGAGCCTGGGCCGCAAGAGCAGAGCCTTCTTGACGGTTTAGGGTTTAGGGTTTGGGGTCTAGGGTTTAGGGTTTAGGGTTTAGGGTGCAGAGCGAGAGAATGTTGAGTTTGAGGGCCAGAGACGGGTTCTCCCTCCTAAACCCCAAAACCCAAACCCTTTTGTTTCAGGGCTTGGGGCTTCGGGTTCAGGGGCTTAGGCATTCATAGAGGGTTTAGGATAGGGGTTAGGGTTCAGGGGTTTCGGGGGTTCAGGGCTACCAACAAAAGCTTAGGGCTCCTGGACTTCAGGTGACTAGTTGAGGTGGTTTGGTGCGAATTCCGGCGTCAAGCCTATGAGTCGAGGGTTCGGCCCAAGAAGCCCTAAACCCTAAACCCTAAACCCTAAACCCTAAACCCTAAACCCTAAACCCTAAACGGCCAGCACTAAAGCCAGGCTTTAAAAATGCCCACTGCAGACCCTATGCCCAAGAAACCTGAATCGGTATGTCAACCCTCAACACCCTGAGCCCTGAGTTCTTAAGCATGAACCCTATAAACCCTAGAACCCCAAATCCTAGAACCCTACCAAAAAGCCCCCCTCCCCCCTCGGTGCCAATTCCAGGAGGCTCTGAATCAGCTGCTGGCAAAGCAGCGCTTGCGCTTGCAACTTGGAGATGTCCTCGAAGGGTTGATTTAGGGGTCGAATAATCAAAACGGGTTGATATAGGGTTTAAGGGTTAAGGTCTTAGGGTTGCGCGACGACAGGCCAGACAGAATGCTCAGCAAGTACCATTGCAATTCTAGTTTCTCGAGAGATTGCGGCATCACTACTCGCGCTATTGTGAGTGGTCTGCTGTTACCGCGCTGCTGCATCACGAGGCCTGTTGCAAAAAGGGTTTAGGGCTTAGGGCCCCTTTGTATTTGTGCTATCACAACCCCCCCCCCAAAAAAAAAAAAAAAAAAACAAAAAAAAACCTATTCTAATTATGCAGGCCCCTATATTAGGCGGTTTGGGGCTCAGGGTCAAGTCCTTAGGTGCGCTTGGGGTTTTCGGTGGTGTAGGGTTCAGGCGGTTTAGTCAAGGCGGTTTAGGGTTTTGGGTTTTAGGCGCGGTTCAGGGTTTAGGCGCGTTAGCGTTGTGCAGTTTAGGGGGTTCAGGCTTGGGGGTCCAGGTGCTCTTATGGAGGGCGTCCCTGGGTCCCTGCTGGGTTCAAGTGCCAGTTGGGTTTATTGGGGTCTAAGGAGCTTGGCGCTCCCCCAAGATGTTGGGCATCATCCTAGGGATTGCATCGGGCATGCCAGCTGGATTTCATTCGGTACCTGACCTACTATACTTCACGGGAACATGGACCATTTGGGGACAAACGTTAGGGCTTAGGGTGAAGAAGGCCGTTGTCAGTATCGCTTTGCTGTAGCTGACGAGAGATCTTGAAGTATGGTGTGTTCTTGGAGGTTCATGGTACTTATTAGCCAATCATAACTGTACTTATAACCATATTAGGGCACTTAAGGGGTTATAAGTGGGTTATAAGTACACTTAGAATTGGTTAACAAGTACCATGAACCTCCAAGTTTGACATGGCTTGAACACGAAGGGAGGGCTAGCGGCATTGACTTGTTGAATCTTCTGAGCTGAGGCAGGGAGTGCTGGAAGCCTCGGAGGATGGAGCAAGAGAACCCTAAACCCTAGAACCCCAAACCCCAAATCCTAAACCCTCAACCCTAAACCGTGGTTGTTCGGCAGGCTAGAATGGCACTGGGCAGGATGTTGGGGTTTTGATTCGCAGTTCGCTGAAGCCTCAAGAGACAAACTGCGGATCACCAGGTCTAGCCGGGCTTCAACTTGGGTAAGACCACCAGCACAGTGCTGAGAGTTGCGAGGGTTTGGTGGTTTGATCTAACATGGTTGTTCATTGCTCTGGGCCTTATATGCCTTTTTTGTATCAAAGCAGCCTTTCGCGGCAACAGCAACATTTTCGGCTGGACCACCCCTGCCTGCTTATTTTCCTAAACCCTAAAGGCCCTAAACCCAAAGCCGCTCTCTCGCCACCTGAAAAATCCGACCCTTCGCGTTTGTCCAGGAGTTTAGTTCGATCCTGGTGAGCGAACAGCGGCCAGAAACCAGCATCATCCGCAGATATCAGGACTTAAGGGTTTAGGGTTTAGGGTTTAGGGTTTAGGGTTCAGGATGGATGCTCAAGGTAGTAAAGGCTTGATGCTACCGCTTGCACCCTTCCAGCAGATCGTCACTAGTCACAAGCTGTCACATAGGGACTCCGAGATAAGGATAGGGTTTAGGGTTTAGGGTTTAGGGTTTAGAGTTTAGGGTTAGGGTTTAGGGTTTAGGGATATAGATCAAATAGATGAACCCAACCAGTTGTTGCGAAGATATTGGGACCCCGCTTAACCCAGACCCTTGGGAGGATCCCCCCAAAAGTGGATTCCCTTAAATGAGCCCATCGTAGTGTTCGGGCATTTCTCGGGGTTCTACTTTTTGGATCCTGCCACCAGGGTCCCTAAACCCTAAACCCTAAACCCTAAACCCTAAACCCTAAACCCTAAACCCTAAACCCTATGTCAGGAGTGTCTGCAGACCTTCCGCATCCGTGGCCTGGGCAGCGACCACACCTGGCGTCTTCTGGCAGGCTTTGGCGTGCAGCCCGAGTCGGAGAAGGAGGTTCCCAGCTCCGGCTGAGGGTTTAGGGTTTAGGGTTTAGGGTTTAGGGTTTAGGGTTTAGGGTTTAGGGTTTAGGGTTTAGGGTTTAGGGTTGGGGCTGAGCGTATACTAAGCCCTACAACCCAAGAATCCCCAAACCCTGCAATCCCAAACCTGGGTGTGCATGTTTGATGGAGGGGTGGTCGGCTTTCAGATTCTCACCAACGGTATCCTCGATTGAGGGGTCAGCTGCAAAGGAGCAAGCCCTAAAAACCTCCCACCCACAAAACCAACAAGCCTCCCAAACAGAAAGCTCCATAAACAATGTAAATACATAATCTTCTTTAAAAGCCACCATAACATATAACGAAAAAGAAACACGAAAACAAAAAAAAAAGCCAGAGGCCCTGCAGGTGACGGCTGCTCGATCTGAGTCTTCGGCGCAGAGGCCGGCCAAGTCGCAGACGCGCGTGGACGGCAGAGGAGAGCGGCAGACCCTTGGGCTCGCACAAA